AGTCAGTCTCAACTGGTCCTTCTAAGACAATTTTTTAAAACAAAATAATCACACTGCTATAGCATGGTTTTTGGTTCCTGAGACAGGACACAGGTGCAAAGCATTTCAGGGGTTAACCCTTCCCTGAGAATATTTTTCTTTTCAGTCATGGAATTCAAAATTGGTTTTACCAGTCTGGAAAAAATAAGCCATTAATGTGTTTGCTGGAACTCACATAAACAGAAATGGTTGAAGGACTAAATAACACTGCCAGTAACACTGCTGCTTCCACATTACCAGGTAACTATCACAAAATACACACAGATCAAACAGCATTCATCTCCCATTGGAAACTGAATCAAGTTAATGTCACTGATCCAGGCTGAAAAAACAAAACAAAACTTCTTGTTTGTACAGCTTCTTTTCCACTACAGCTGGATGCCCAGGGACAAGCAGTGCAAGAATATTACAATAGCCTCATATTAAGAGCCAAATTTTAAATGAGATGATTGTTCAGCCTAGACGATCTCTAGTAAACCAACAGTGTGGGTCTTAGAGTATTTAAGCAATCCATGACAAAAAAGTTTCATCCTTTGGTTCCTAAAACAGAACCAGGGGTAGGGAGACAGAACATGTTCTTTAATTTCTTTAACTTTAATTGGTTAATGGGGAACAAATTTCAGCCAGCCTCTGATATTGGGAGGGAGGGAAGGAAATACAATAAGTGCAGAGTTAGACAGAGAATGGTGGCATACCAACAAGAGGAACTGTGCTACATTAAGCTGCGTGTATTCATGGCCTACAGTTATTCTGTTTCTGGATTAACAATACTGTGCCAATCCTACACATAAAAGTGTTTAGGAGAGTGCCCAGGCATTTCCCCCCACCTTATACTCCTTATGCAAGGGGTGGGTTAAGTATAAGCTCTTGTGCTCAGAGATTTAGGACTAACTAGAATTGGCACTAGTCTGAAAAGGAAACAGGGAAGAGCTGGGGTCACGCCTCCTTGCCCTTTGGTTCAGCAAGTGAAGCTGCTCAGCTGTGAAGACTAAGGTATGCTGCACCCCTGAGTGGTGGAGCAGCAGCAATCTCCCCAATGCACCTGGGAGCCTGGCGTGCCCTTTGCCTCACTGAGCCACAAAACCACTCAGAGCTCCTACACGTGTAGTGCAGCTGTGCCACCATCCCCCACCATACGACTGGAGCTTAAAAGCCACAATTTAGTCAGAGTTTTTCCAGATCTTGAGTGCAGTATATGACCTTAAGCCTCACCTTCAGCACCCATTCACAACAATGGCAATTCCATTGTTGTAAGCCATACATCATTCTATCCGGGGTTTGAGATCTCATGAGTGTGAAAAAAAGAAAGACTTCATTTTGAAACTGCTATCCTCATGCCACATAGAATTACTATTACAGCACTAAATATCTGTACAAAGAACAGGTTTCAATGTTAATGTAGTACATGGGATTTAGACAGTATTTCCATTTTATGGAACTGTCCATTTGATTTGATGGCAAGCTGATATGCTCTCAGGCTATTCTTGATGTTGCCTTGCCCCCTTATAGTGGTAGGGTCCAATTTGCCATTGCCCTGAACTGCCTATAGTCATTTGCACCACTGCAAGGCAGAAGTAAAGTGCTCACATTGCTCTGGTGTGAAGTACTACATAAGTTGTAGGGCAACAGTGAATCAGCCCCACAGATGTCCTTCCTAGCTGTTTCATGGAAATTCAGTGCTATAACTTCAGCAACAGCTTTGTACCAACAGCCTCAAAGGAAAGAAGGGAGAAAGAGCACACAGCACAACTGGAAAGAATTAGGGTCAGTTTGCAAAGCTGGAATTCAGTTTGGGAGGCAGGGTAAGAATAGAAGGCCTGCAACTTCACATACTTATGTTCCTGATTTCCTAACCCTACAGGGAGCATAGAATTTAGCTGCCACTAGAGACGCAATGGTATTTTTAAAAAGCAGTCATCCACTTATCTGGTGTAGCGTGTTGCATACCGTTCAAGGTCAAGTGGAACAATTCTGTTGGCATTCTTTCATAACCTCCTCTCAACACACACAGTCCATTCACAGGACGATTTATGGTACTGTGAACTGTGCCCACTAGTAAGAGTAAAGGATAGAATTAGAGGTTCCCAGCTCTGCCATAGACTTACTGTGTGAGCTGGAAAAATCACTTGAAGCTCAGATACTATGGTGATGGGGGCCATGTAAAGTATAAAATACAGTCTTTGTTGTGGTAAGGACTACTACACCGATTCTATGGCAGACTGAAGCACCGAGTATTCGAAAGATAAATTGACTAACAATTGTAGAATGCTTTGTAAATAACAATAAAAACGAACAACAACTACTACAGTTTGTACAGTGCCTGACAATGGGGTTCCATTCTTGGTTGATCCCTAAACACTATTGTACTAATTATTAATAATAAAATAATTGAAAGTGTTCTCACAACATGGAACCTTAAGATTCCATTCAACCCGCAGGAAGGACACATCTTGAGTCTCAACAGGACTATGTGCTATTCAGTTGAATTCACCCTACAGAACAGAAATGAGTTTTAAAAAGGTCCTGAGACCTAAAACGGCAATTTCAGTGTTTTGAGGATACAGAATGAGTCCTTTAGCAGGGAACAACACTGGTATTTTGTGGGCTGACAATCACGAGGGAACAAGATATACAGGGAGATGAAAGCAGCACAGGCAGACACAAAAAATAAATAAGCAGAGGTGTCAGCATGCATTGCCTGTTGGGAAACACCTATTACGAGAGAGAGGTTTACACAGTTTGAGGTAGTTTAAATAAGAAAACAAGATATAGAAAAAGCTATGAGACTCCATTACTCTGGACTCCTTCCAAACCTTCATGACAATTCAGGAAATTCATTTGTCCACTATTTTAGTTCTGCTGAGCCACAGTTTAACTTCACTTGCTGGTGTGCACCTGATTACTATGCTGGCCCTGAAGTTTTCAGCATTATTGTATTAATCCACCACTATTTAAGGACTACTGTGTAAAGCTGATAGACTTCAATGAGAAAATTTACATCATACATTAGCTACACGTAATATTTTAAAAGTTATTTTGAAAATATGTGATGTTCCCCTGGTTATCCTTAAAGGAATTTTGATTACTGAACACTTCAGTGTTTGCAGCATTGGTTAATTATTTCTTTATTTCCCTGGATTTAGTACTGCAGCATTCTCTAAGTGTTACTTTATACTTCATAAATTCAATTTTAGGATTTATCAACACAGTCTCAGCTATTCCACATTAGTCATTCTAGGCTCTCCTCCCTCCACCCAATGTAGACAAGCCCTTCATTTTTGCATCAAGGCATTTTTCTTGACAAAATTTATCTAAGGTGAAACTGGAACCTTAAAGATTACCACCCACCATGAGAGGTAAAATCTATTGCTACTAGAAATAGGCCCAAAGCAGGATTTGGATCCGGACTGAAATTTCCCCCAAATTTCCTAGTGTTTACACCCAGCTCTTGTTTTGGGACCATCTCCGGTAATTTGTATTTTGGGGTCAATCACTCTTAAGTAAATCTATTGACTTACAGTAAAACCTCAGAGTTATGAGCAGAAGTTACAAATTGACTAGTCAACCACACACCTCATTTGGAACCGGAAATACACAATCAGGCAGCAGCAGAAACAAACAAAAAAGGCAAATACAGTACTGTACAGTGTTAAATGTAAACTATTAAAAAAGGGGGGAAGTTTAAAAAAAGATTTGACAAGCTAAGGAAACTGTTTCATTTAAATTAAGATGCTAAAGGCAGCATTTTTCTTCTGCATAGTAAAGTTTCAAGGCTGTATTAAGTCAATGTTCAGTTGTAAACTTTTGAAATAACAACCATAAGGTTTTGTTCAGAGTTACGAACATTTCAAAGTTACGAATATCCTCCATTCCTGAGGTGTTTGTAACTCTGAGGTTCTACCGTACTTACAGTTTAAAAGGTAAATAGCTGTAACCAGACAGAGTTGTTTTATTGAATCCACACTTTTGTTTGGTTTTTTTTAACCATTAAGATGGGTCAGAAACGAAGGCAGGTTGAGAGTAATGACTGCTTGCAGCTTAATTTGTTATGACAGGAAAAGCTTAAGAAATTAGAATAATCTGTTCACTAATTAACCAGATTACATACCATTAAGTGGACATCTTCATTTGCAGCCTGCATCATTAATCCTGACAGAGGAGTTTGGTGGTTCCCAATCAGCTACCAGGAGCATTATTGTAAGGTCTAGAGCCAATATTACTGCGTCCTAACAAAATACGAAACCAGCACCACTTTTCCCTGAATGCTCACCAGTTATGAGATGTATTTTATTAACTTCTCATTCCCAGCAGGACATGATTGGTGGTTCCCCATACTATAGTTCCCTGAAATTCGTTAATAAACCAGGGATTTCTACAAGGTGTTAATACAGACATAAAATCTTCCCTCTCCCCCTAAGACACCAAAAAAAGCCCATATCTTGAAGTTGACACATACCTTAATCACTCCAGGTGAAATACATCAGTCTGGCCAAATTATTGTCAACTCTCTAGGTCTATAACTGTATTTATTTTTGAATCCTTGGCACAAACTTCCAAGCACATCATTAAATATTTATCACATGGTATTCATAGTAGAGCAATAAAGTTAACTTAGAACTCCACCCACTGTGTTTTCATGAAGTATTTTCCTTGGAAATAAGCTTGAAGTCTGATCACATCGATCTTAATACACAACAACCACCTCCTGTAATAAATGTCTTGAACAAATTCCTTTCAGTGACTCCCTTACACTTATGTTTTGCAGAACTGACTTAAACCCTTACACAATTAAAGCTAAAATCGAACAAATGAAGATGTCTGAAAGAGGAGTTTCATTTTAAATTTACAATGCTCCCAAGGAACCGTGGGGTAGGTTTGGGGAGGGGGAGTTCATCTTCTGAAAATCGCCAACATTAAACATGGGGGAGGGATAACCTAAATAATGAACACCAGGCATTTACCTTCACTGGTAGCCGCATTCTTCTGAGCTTTGGTCGGTGTGTGATCTGTACTTGAACTCACGTCGGATGAGATGCTTGAGCTGCCTTTGCCTACAGAAAAGGTGTGGGAGAGAAACAGCGTGAATATTAACAGCAGAGGAGAAGAATCCTCAATATCAGACCTTGGGACAATGACAAGATCAGTGGCTGATGTTCAGTTTGTACTGGGTAGGGGCAAGAAATAAATGCACTATAGCCTATAGAATAAGCATCCTTTTAATTAGGGTTGCAAGTCTTACCTGCTTTGGGGAGGCTCCCACTGCAGATTTTCACAGCTCCATAATGAATTTAAAATTTTAATTTGTCATTAGCAATTGCAAGAGAAGAACTGGACTTTCACCAAAGGTTACTAATGCAAAGGTAGCCCAGGTAAAGGAAAATAGATATTAACCCTGCTTGGTGAACATGTGGATTGAATCAAAATTTCTAACAGACTGGTCTATATCTGACTATATCATTAAAAGCACAATAACCAGGGAGGGAGAGTGCATGGTGTTGAAGTTAAGGCCTTGCACTAAAACTCAGAAGATCTGGGTTCCATGCCCAGCTCTGTCACTGACTTTCAATGCAACATTGGGCACCTGCCTTTATCATACTCACATTTCACAGATTGTTAAGTTGCTTAATTGTATAGCTGATTGACTACACTTATGGTTTGTTATGAAAAATGTTCAAGAGACCAAATAACCAAACTTAACCAAAATTTATTATCTAAAGTCAAAACTGTACAATACAAAAAGGAGATACACATACCCATTTTCCAGAAAGTAATTATCTCTCAGCATATTTACCTTACACAGAAGGTACACCTTCCCAAGACCACTTGTATTTGTCGGATGGCTCCTTACAAGTTAGAAATCATTTCATACATTACGTAAGATCCAACCCCCCAATTTGTACCAGCACTTTAACGTGTGGGTCTGGATACTAGCCTTCCAGGTCCTGTTCTGTGAAGCTATCTTTGCAGAATATTAATGTATTTTGCCTTTGATCTGTTTACTATCCACTTAGGCCAAATGCTGAGTTGTCCTGTTCCAAGATATTGTGGGATATAGCAGTGAACAAGAGTGAACAGCATTGTGGGGAAAACAATACAATTCAGTTGGCATAACACAGTGTTTCCCAAACTTGGGACGCCGCTTGTTTAGGGAAAGCCCCTGGCGGGCCGGGCCAGTTTGTTTACCTGCTGCGTCTGCAGGTCTGGCCGATCGCGGCTCCCACTGGCCGCGGTTCGCTGCTCCAGACCAATGGGAGCTGCAGGAAGCGGCGCGGGCAGCAGCGAACCGCAGCCAGTCGGAGCCGCGATCGGCTGGACCTGCAGACACGGCAGGTAAACAAACCGACCCAGCCTGCCAGGGGCTTTCCGTAAACAAGTTTGGGAAACACTGGCATAACTGCTCAACATTCATACATACAATATTCATACTGTGCGCTTAATACATATTAATGTAGTGTAAGTAATGCCTATGGCATACATTGTCTGGTGTTCCCTGTTTGCCAGATTCTTACCTATCTTATGGGGTATGAGAGAATAAAATGTATTAACTATGGGGTGTGTAGATATTATAGTTATGTGAAGCCATATAAACACCTAGACAGACCACTTAACTTTGGAAACATTGTTGGCAGCCTCAACAATCAATTCGCACGGACACTGAACTATCTTCATCCAGAGGCATGGTCCCTCCAGAACAGGATTAAGGCACCTTTGCCAGCATCCCAGGCTTGATCTGTTCTGAAGATGTATATCCAGATGACTAGTTCACCCTCCTCCACATCCACTAAAACCACAGTTGTTAAATATTTCTTCAGTGTTGAACAACATACAAGGTAAAGAGTGTAGGTGAAAATTTATGGTTACTAACTTAACATTTACCAAACAGCAATATCATCTGTGAACCATTGGTATCTACATCAGAGGGTGAAGCTGTGGTATCTCAGATAGCACTCTGAGAAAACTGTTGCCAAAGACGGATATTTTGATGGCAACTATTGTACCTGGCAGCCTTATGATTCAATGGACTGTTAGCCAACAGAAAACAATTTCCAGAACACCTACAAATAAAAGGGTTAAATTGGCAGACAAAACTCTTCAAAATAGTTAATGTATTTCCTTTTCACATGGCTCAGAGTAATTAAAAAATTCAAGTCAATGGGTCATATCACCTAAACAGGAAAATAAATCAGCTTCTGTTTCCTCTCACCTTGACATATTGCTTGAAGTGACACATTATTCTGGCACTAAGCACCATTTATCATTGCTTTCTCCTCCTTTTTACCACAAGCCAGGACAATGCAATGCTACTTTGCATCAGCTTTGTTCAAATCTCTTGCCACATTCCACTACACCAGTGGTTTTCAACCTGTGGTCCGTGGACCCCTGGAGGTCTGCAGACTATGTCTAAGATTTCCAAAGGGGTCTGCACCTCCATTTGAAATTTTTTAGGGGTCCGCAAAATGAAAAAAAAAAAAAGTTGAAAGCCACGGCACTACACCAACACTCTTGGGTCCATCTGAACAGTTACGCTGTATTCTGATACAAAGTAAAAATATAGAAAGAAGCTAGGATGGTGAGGAAAAATTACCATGGCTAAGTACCTCAAGAGAGCTAGAACATACAAGATGGAGTGCTGTTTTGGGTTAACACCTTTCTAATTCCTGATAACCAGACCCACGAGGCCCCACCCCAACTCTGCCTCTTCCCCAAGCCCTGCCCCCATCACTCACTGCTCCCTCCCCCTCACTCCCATCACTTGCTGGATCATGTCAAGGAGTCTGCCTGCAGGTAGGTGGTGGCCCCAACTGAGCGAGGGCTGGTGTGGGTTAATGATCCGGTGCCTCTCCCCACCCCCTGGTAACCGCGGTTTTGGTTCAGGTGCCATTTAGGGTTACCAGGTCCCCTTTTTGACCAGACTTTCCAGTTGAAAACTGGGCACCTGGCAACCCTAAATGGCACCCAGACACAAAAGCCAAAAACCAGACTGTCCAGGTAAAAACCAGATGGGTGTCAAGCCTAGTGCTCTTACCTTGTTTTTTGTCCGAGGACCCAAAAGCAGGAGAAAGAGGTGCAATGGGAAAAATCTAGGCTTGTAAGAGGAGATAAGATTAGAGAGTGAAGGAAGATAAGAGGGGAGGGTTTTAAAATGGACAGTGTAGAATAGGGCGGTTACTTAAAAGAACAAACCAAATTTAAAAGCGAGGTTGACAAAAAAAAAAAGCAGAACTGAATCGCCACTGAATTAGCACTATGGGGCCTGATTCAGTTTAGACTAGCACACCCTTACCCAGACTATATCTACATTATAGCAAAGACTTTTCCTGCAAGCACAGACTGGTACTCACACTTGTTATGTATTGCCAAGGAACAAGAGATAACTTTTCTACAGCCACAACTGTGACTAACAAAGATCAACCAATCAGCAATGCATTTGATAGTTCTAAGGAAATGAAGGCTGAACAATACAGTTACATTTAAGAAGTGTCCTATATCCCAAGTATATTACAATTAACTACAGCTGAAGAATGTTAAGCAAAGCCGTTTAAAGTTATGGTGGGTTTTTTTTTAATAAAGTTACATTATATGCAGAAAACTAGCTGACACCATGTTTCTGTCACTTGAGTAAACCTATAATCATAGGAATGTTAGCAAGAGACTTTTCTGATCTGTTATTTCAATCAAGCATTCCTTGGGGTTCTGCATTAAAGTATGCCTGGTTTTCATAAATTTGGATGTAAGGAGGTCTGATCTTTTAAATGTGCCACAGCAAAATGAGAATTTAACGTTTTTTTAATGGGAAATGACTGTTGAATATGCAAACCTAAGGGCCTTCTCAAACCAGGTACTGCCACTTATGCCTTAGGTCAGTCCCAGAGAAGCAGTCTCCACCATAAAATTGCTCAAGTTGATATGTTCCCTGATATGTGAGATGAGCTATGGAGTGGGGGTATATTAAGGGACCAGGAAGAATTAAAAAGAAACACTTGAGCTAGTCAGGGGGAGGTAACCAAAAGCTTTCATCAGAGCCCATGTTCTCAAGGAGTCACCAGTTTGGTTCCTTTAAACTTAAAAGAATATTAAACCAAAAGTAACTTGGCTAGCACATTGCTTCCACTGCTCTGATGCAGGGACAAGGAGAGAATGGAGGTATATGAAACCCATAGTCCTTCACAAGACCGTCCCAAGTTAATAGGCCTCCCAGCTTAGGTGTCAGTGTTTGTGGTGGGAGAAATCAAGTTGTGCACAGAGTACAGAAGGTATAGGGTTGCCAAGTTTTGTTTTGGGGGTGAGGTGTTAGATTTTATTTTTAAACACAAGCTTCAGGAAGAGACCGGAAGGTTTGGGATTTGTCCTTTCTCGTGAAATAACTCAGTAGGTATTAGCCACATAAGGCGTCAAATCACATCTAACACTGCACCCATGTACTGGGCATTTCACCTCTAAAAGCAGAGCAGCATTTCCATAGAACATGGTCACATTCTGCCACAGCATAGAAACGACAAGACTAAACAGATTAAGAGGATAGGATGGCAAGATCTGATTAACAGTACAATAGTCTTTGGAACCATTTCTTCCAATGTGGTGAATTCTTTCACGGGAAAGGAAAAAAGTAACACAAACCATGGACAAGCCACACTTGCCAGCTACATGCGTGAAACAAACATACACTTGCATTGTTGGAGCACAAGGTCTTGTAGTGGGAGCGAAAGCTGTCAATAGTAGTAAATCTTCTGTCCCTCTACAGGCAAGCCACTGGAGCAAAAAACTGAGCAGCTAATGGCAATGTATTACTTAGGATAGTATGTTTCTGTAATGCTCTTGAAATCCCAGACTATATTACCCACTTTAAATGCACTTTTAACATTGACAAATTCCAATAGTGCATGTAATTTACAAATATTTGTTAACAGCTAAAAAAAAAAAATCCAATTATACAGAATGATTGTAGCCAGACACCAATTTTGCCACATTATTGTTCTGTTAATATTTTATTATTTCCCACAAAATGGAGCCGTTTCAGCAGAAAAGATGATGCCCCAACCCCAGATAGCCA